AAGGAGAAATTCATCTTGATTGTCCACCGCACTAACTAGCATCGAGTACCCTGGCTAAACAAATTATAAAGCCTCCTCTCTCACACTCCATACGGCACTACTAAACTTTCTTTTCTTCAGTAAATTCACCATTCATCTTTGTATCCTGAGTTGTGTTAAACCCTCTTTGTTTCCAGATCAAAGTTCTGAGTAGAATTCATCCTGCTTTTTGTTGAAGACAAAAATCTCATCTTTGACTCGGGACATTTCTCTTCTGGGGCTTTACAGGATTCGTGTGTAGAAACATTAAGGGATGGAGAGATGGCTCAGATGGTCAAGTGCTTGCTGTGCAAAAGGACCAGAATTCAGATCCTAGTACCCACAAAAGCTGGGCAGAGCTCACCTAGAACCTCAGAGCTGGGGTTGGAGACAGGCAGACACCTGGGCACTGACCAGTCTAGCTCAAACAAAGAGTTCTACATTCATTTAGAGTCTCTGTTTCAAAAAATAAGGCGGATATGCTGCCAAGATGGCTCAGTAGAAGCTTGTTGCCAAGCCTGTCAACCTGAACGTGATCTCCAGCAAGTTGTACGGAATGGTATTCCACGAGTAATTTTCCAGTTGCACTATACATGGAACTTTCCTGTCATCTTTCTTTGCCCATAACACCAAAGGCCACATTGAACTCATTCTTTGGTCTTTCCCTTTGACAGTACAACTGACTTGCCCACCAACAAAACTATGAGAAAGACCAAACCAAAAGAACATGTTACTGGTTAGAGAATATAGGTAGCTGGGACTGTTACTTCATAGCCACTCGTGAACTTTTGGTAAAAATGCACTTATGTGCAACTGAAAGCACCTTTTATGTAACACCCTCCCCCACCATGCCTTCTTTGGGCTCTTTTGCCATTCTGGCAGAGATTATTTGGGTGACCACATTGCCTGGTGAAATCTTACTGATCCTTCCAGATGCAATTCAGAGGCATCCTACTGTATCTACCCAGTCCAGTGCGCCATAGTTCTATTCAAAATTCAGTCTCCGAATTCTCAGGAAGTACCACAGTGCCTGGCACTGAGACTTAGAGGCTTGTTTACCAACCTGTGGGCAAAATTAATCCATATTACTGTTTTTATGTCTAGAATGTTCATTTTAAATTTAGGCTAACAAAGTAAACCAAGCAGCCACAGGAGTGTGTCTGAAGCACTCAGGAAGGTGAGGCAAGAGCACTGTATGAGCCCAGGGGTTGAATGACAGCCTGGGCAATGTAGCAAAACTATCTCAAAGAAAAAAATCATGCAGGGAATCAGAAAAAACTCAGCAGCAACAGTTTACATAGTCTCCATTTTGCAGTTAAAAAGCATCTAAAACATATACTTCCAACTTTTGGTAACATACACATGAAGCCAGAGGCCCAATCTGTCAGTTTTACTGTCTAGACTAAAACATTATTCTTTGTGGAGTCATGCCTTTTAGTCCAGTACAAATCAGTTTTGCACATATATATACACACTTACTTAGCAAATGTTAAGAGCAGTTTCTAAAAATACCTGCTTTCTTCCTTCTTCCAATACTAAGAGTCTAACAGGGTACTTTGTCACTGTCTAATATACAAAGCCAATGGCCAACTGCTTGAAATCCACAGAAATTGACTCCAAGTTATTCAAACTATTTTCCTTCTCTGAGTCAGTTAACAGTGTGGACTTACTATGGTAAATACTGACAAAGACTGTATTTGGGAGGAGGGGTTTCTGAGACCCCACCACTCCTTAAGGATGATTTAACAGGCAGTCAACCACTGAGGGGCTCCCAAGGCTTCTTTAGGCTGCTGGGAGACTTAGTGGTGTAGTCAGTAGGAAGTTGCCCAGGCTTCTGTAACCCTAATTAACCCCATTAGGTCAAGAACAGCAAAAAAAAACCAAATATTGAAGTACAAAGGGGACTAGTTTGTATCAGTGTGACTAGAGGGTAACTGGGCGAACACCATCAGAAAGACATTACATACATGGATGAAGATGTCATAGTGAAATCCTACTTACATAATACGCTAAAACTTTTAAGAGCCTACATTTTTGGTTGGGCACGGTGATGCATGCCTTTAATCCCCGCACTCAGGAGGCAGAGGCAGGTGATCTCTTCAAGTTCAAGGCCAGCCTGGTCTAGTGAATTCCAGGTCAGCTGGGGCTACAGAGAGACCTGTCTCAAAAAGATGCCCCCCCCCAAGCCTACATTTTAATGCCTGATAGTCTTCTGCTCTATCAGACAAGCCCTTTTTAAGCTAAGTCCTTTCTAGTAAATACCCTGGTATGTGTCAGAACAACCAATGTACACCTGTTATTATTTACAACCACAAGCAAAAGTAACAACTGTTTCATGTAACAATTACTCAGGTAATTAAGGCATTACATTTTTTATCACAAGACAACGTACCTTTAAACTGCCCAATACAGTCAATCAATGGTATTAGGACATGGGTTTGGTTAACAGCACCCACATGGCAGTTAACTCTAACTCTAGTTCCAGGGTATCCAACACCCTCTCCTGCCCTCCACAGACACCGAGACAAGGTCTCCCTGTAGCCCCAGATGGCCTGGAACTTGCTATGTAGACCAGGTTGGCCTCGAACTCAAGAGATCCACCTGCCTCTGCATCCCAAGTGCTGGGATTAAGGGTGTGTGCGACCACACCCAGCTAATACACGTATTTTTAAAAATCCTAATTGTCGGGCAGGAGGGATAGTGCAGCCATTAAATTTAGGCTAAGGCTAACAACTAAAAAGTTAAAATCCTAATAAAGCTGTCAAGCACAAACCAGGCTGACATCTTACTTTTTTCCACTGTCAACATCCAAGTGAAGTATTGCTGGTGGTACAAAATGTAATGACACTGCCTTGGCTGAATGGTTCCACTAGTTAACAATACGTTAAGTATTTGAGAAGCATACTTAACCTGGATTGTTGTCTGGATGGGGGTTGTACATCCTTACCAATTTCACCTCCAAAATAAGAGACTTAAGAAAATGAGTTCTAGCATATAGTTCTAAATGTGGATTCTCTTAATAAGCCAAACAGCTGGATCACTAATCCCTAAAATCCAACTGGCATTCACTTTTCCAGGACCCTAGGTCTCTTTATGATTTGGCAATAGGTAGAGAAAGGTAGATTCCTTTCAACAAATCTTGTCTAAGACAAGACACTAGCCTGAGTGTGGTGACATGCTTATAATCCCAAAACTGTGGAGGCACACACAAAGTGAGTTTAAGGCCAGCTTCCACTACACAATGAATGAGGCCAGCCTGGGCTACATGAGACTATTTGGAAAAACCTGGACAGCAGTTTGTGAAGCAGCCATTTCACAGTATACATAAAAACATACTGTATATGGGGGCTGGAGATGGCTCAGTGGTTAAGAACACTGTTCCTGCAAAAGACCTAGGTTTGAATCCCAGCACCCACATGGTAGTTAACCATCCCAGGGGATCCGAAAGCCTCTTCTGACCTCTGCAGGCATTGTACAGAATGAGTGCACTTACCTACTGCATGTAGGCAATACAAGCGCGCGGGCACACACACACACACACACACACTACTGTATACACCTCCCTGAGCCTGATTCCCTTCACTAATGACCCTCATCCTTCTGCTTCAATTACCTCATTCACCAAATGGTGCCCATGTTAGCTCAAAACTTGCATTATTTCCCCAACATCCATGTGAAAAGCTGGGTGCAGGTGCCTGTGCCTATGAAGCCTAGAATTAAGACACCTAACATTAATTCCCTGGACTCCACACACACAAAGTTTAGTGCAGTGTTTCACACAGTACAGCAGGGGAGGATTCCCCAGCCCAGATAAAGACCAGCTTGGAGAGCTCATCAGTCATTAAGAATTACCTTAGCACTGTCAAGCTGGGCATTGTGGTGCACACCTTTAACCCCATCACTTGGGAGGCAGAGGCAGGTGGACCTCTTGAGTTCAAGGTTAGCCTGGCACACATAAGAGTTCCAGGTCAGCTAGGGCTACAGGGTGACCCTGTCTCAAAAAGACCAAAAAACCTAACAAAGCTTCTTGAACCCTGCTGCAGTGGCTTTAAGTTATATTCATTCTGTAACACATACTGTGTGCTATGAGTTAATATATTAGTAATTAAGATTGGAATAAAAGAACTTGCTTTAAAAAAAAATTGCCTTGGCACCATCAGATGTAAAGTGGGGCCTGGACTTCACGGCTCAGAATATTCATTACTTCACTTCTGTGTCCTGAAAACTGGTATACCAAGTTCTTCAAAGACAAGCCATATTCCAATATACCATTTGATGACCAAACAACATTTTGCTTAGATCAAGTCACACTTGATTTACTGCCATCTGTGGCTGTTTCAGAGGTATAATAAATGGGTTGTGAATGTAGCTTAGTGGTGGACTGCCACCAGGCACAAGGCCTCACTTACACATCTTTGCTGTATGTCACACAGATCACACCCTGGCCCAGCAAAGAACTCAATACAACACTACAAACCAGCTTGGCCCAGGAGTCAAAAATGCCAGAGTAGCTGAGCATGGTGGCACACACCTTTAATCCCAACACTTGGGAGGCAGAGGAAGGTAGATCTCTGTGAGTTCAAATGAGGCTACAGGGAGACCGTCTCAAAAAGACCGAAGGGAGGGAGGGGGCTCAGTATGCATTCATTGGTGAATTTTCAGCCGAGCTAAAAATGCCTAGGCTAGTCCTTTTTGGAATTCCCATGGCTCATTCCAGTTGAGGGACTATTCTTATCTCAACAGTTTTCAGGGAAAACTAGTTCACTGGCTTAGACTCCAACATCCCTGTTTGATATTTTACTGCAGTAGAATTAATCTTGTTTCACAGTATGCTCAGCTTGAAATATTTAGTTTTACAGGGACTTGAAGGAGAAAAACCTCTTAGTAAAGTTGATGGGAAATCACAGTAAAAGCAAATCTCCACATAACCACTTGAGGCCGTAAGAGCATAAGCACAACCATATGGGAGGATAACCAGTCTCTCCCTTCGTATATATTCTTTTTTATTTTCTTGTTATACCTTCCCCAAACAGAGACATTCAACAGTAGTTAGAATGGCCATCTCCCAACATTTAAAAAACTGCACCCCCAATGGGTGAACAAGATGAAGAGTAACCTAGAGTTCAGCTCAGTAAGCCACTGTGGAGCCTTAAGTGGTGAGGGCTTCCAATTTCAAAGTGATGTGTCTTCAACTTGGATCATTATAGTGGAAAAACAATTAATTTTGGTGAAATGAGATTCATTTCCAGACAGGATTAGTAACAGCATTCACTGAGTTTCACATTCTTCTTTGTGAACTGTGAAGAAAATGAATGGTAGCTAGGAGATCAATGGGATTCCAGCTGCAGATGGAATAACATACACCAGGACAAAAACACCTATATTGTGATTTACAAAGCTAACAGCAGTTTTAAACCTGCAACTTAATTACAGACCAACTATACCACAACCTTTTCAAATGGCAAAAATACAAAAAAGTGTTACAAAAATATTTCAGAAAAAGTGCATAGTCTAAGTGCATAGTAAATAAAAGCACTGAAAAATATCTTGCTAGAGAGGGAGGTTCAGCTTGGGAAGATCATTACCAAAGCTAAACAGTTTCATCTTACACAAACTATACTCAAAAATAGCTTTATGAGACTGATTTCTGGCTAAAAGTATCAAAGGGTTTATTAGTCAAGAAACAAATACCTTAGCTGACAAGCATGGTTAGAAAAGAAACAAGAAGCTGCCCACCCCATCAATCCACCTTGCTGAGATTTCTTCAGTCCTATGGTCCTAACAGATCCCCTCATGACAGAATGTGGCAGTCATGAATTAATTATTGCTCTTCAAATAAAAAAAATAAAAATAAAAAGGGAAAAACAAAACAAAATCAGACCTGACACAATCTTACCAAACACGTGTCAATTTACAATTGAGATTATTTTACAAAATACCTACATTGACACAATAGGCTCCTGGCAGCATTTGCAGACAAAGGTTCTTTTAATTTATCCTTACATGCTGTAAATGAATAAATTACACTATTTAAAGAATTACTGTCAATAAGTTTCCCTTTCTCTTGTATCAGAGAGAAGGAAAAGGGCATACAAGTAGACTGGGAAGAAGCACACGCACACAGTAACCTACAGAAGCGGGGGCTAGAGGGTCAACGATCACTAACTTCACACAGTATGATGCTCTTACAGCCACTTCACAAGTATTTTCAAGAAAAATATTTTGTAGTATAGTTAAACCCTTTAACGCTTTCACTCTTACTCAAAATCAGTCCAGCTTCTAGTTACTGGCAGTAGGAGTCAATGCCAAAGTCCTGGCAGCTGCAGCACTGGGTCACTGTGTCTGCAAGTCATCAAAAAGAAAACAAGGAAAAGAAGGCCTTTCCCCTCAGATGAAAAATAATTTTTATAAAAAAAAAAAAAAGGAAAAAACAATACATTAAATCTTAATTTGGACTTGTAAAGGAATACCATGTAATAAATGGCTTAAAGTAGTCTATCAAAAAATTGGGGAGATTCCATAGTGAGTCAGCAAGGCATTTTGTTTTTGTTTTTTTTTTTAAAAAAAAAATCTCATTTCCTTACAGAAACACTTTTTAATGAACCTGTAAACAAAAGCTCCCATTTCAAAATAAAAACAAAGTCCCAGATCATATAGATGTTTACAGTGATTACATTTATCTAAGCAACATACATACATGTTCAGTTTTAAGATGTTAACTAAATTTCTGTGACAATTTTTTTTTTAATACCAAGAACATTAGAGTTAATGCAGAGTCCTAAGGATTATCTAGTAGTCACTATGTTTTTCTTAAGTCTTCACTTTAGATGCTGTTATTTCTAGCACAAGTAAGCAGGCAGTCTTTCATATGCTCAAACACTGGAATCTTTGGTTGCTACCATTATCAGCTGGCTTGCAAACAAGAAGTCAGCCATTTAAAGAATTGTTTTAAGTGAACAACTTGCAAACCCCAGGGATGAAAAACCCTAAGAACACACAATTGTGAACATTTACAATCATCACAACTGTGGCTGAAGACTGTTCATGCCGTTCTTCTGAAATGAGATCTCAAAGCAGTATAGTTCAAAATAAAACGTTTTAACAAAAAATTGGCATATGCACAATTTCTCCACCAATTTGTGTGTCAACCATTTAGTTAACTTTTCCACTTGAAAAAAATGCAATAGAAAACCTGACACCATGTTTCACTATCTCAGTTAATATTCACAATTACAGTGGCTACAACCCAGGATACAGCATCACCAATGCTGTCCAGAGCCAGTTTTTACTGAAATTAAGTTCTTTACACCAAGTAAATGGTTGTCCACAACCACTGGCTAGTGCACATATGAACTAAAACTTCTAGATTTGGGGAGAAACAAATGCTGCTCCGACCATCTGCTCTGCTTCTTCTGCTCCTTATTCATGCTTAGAAACCTAGTAAAAAATTAAAACAAAAAAGAATGTTACAATTCCAAGCTTAAAAAATTCTAGAATTACACTGAGAATAAGATAGAACTGAGACATAATAATCATGTTTTAAAGTCCCATGTTATTTTTAATCTACCTGAAAATTACTAAGCTGAACTTTTCCAAACAGAGAAACATGGATCTATAAGTAAAGCAATTTTCTTCTGATGTAGATGACTCCAGGAAGGAGCAGTCTACGGTCAGTTACAGTCCCAGCATGCACTTCTCAAGCTATAGAGCTGCTAGCAATTCAAATGAACATGTTCAGTTCTTTACCTGTCACGTGAATCAACAACACATCACATTACTGCAACAACTCCAACAACGGGAGTATGAATTCCTGTGCATGTTCTTCTGATTCAGGTTATGCATGAACTTATTAAACTTTAATGAATGCATTCAAAGCACGACTGAGGTATTTCATTGTACACAGACCTGAGAGCATGTTCTTCTGATTCAGGTTATGCATGAACTTATTAAACTTTAATGAATGCATTCAAAGCACGACTGAGGTATTTCATTGTACACAGACCTGAGAGCATGTTCTTCTGATTCAGGTTATGCATGAACTTATTAAACTTTAATGAATGCATTCAAAGCACGACTGAGGTATTTCATTGTACACAGACCTGAGAGCATGTTCTTCTGATTCAGGTTATGCATGAACTTATTAAACTTTAATGAATGCATTCAAAGCACGACTGAGGTATTTCATTGTACACAGACCTGAGAGCATGTTCTTCTGATTCAGGTTATGCATGAACTTATTAAACTTTAATGAATGCATTCAAAGCACGACTGAGGTATTTCATTGTACACAGACCTGAGAGCATGTTCTTCTGATTCAGGTTATGCATGAACTTATTAAACTTTAATGAATGCATTCAAAGCACGACTGAGGTATTTCATTGTACACAGACCTGAGAGCATGTTCTTCTGATTCAGGTTATGCATGAACTTATTAAACTTTAATGAATGCATTCAAAGCACGACTGAGGTATTTCATTGTACACAGACCTGAGAGCATGTTCTTCTGATTCAGGTTATGCATGAACTTATTAAACTTTAATGAATGCATTCAAAGCACGACTGAGGTATTTCATTGTACACAGACCTGAGAGCATGTTCTTCTGATTCAGGTTATGCATGAACTTATTAAACTTTAATGAATGCATTCAAAGCACGACTGAGGTATTTCATTGTACACAGACCTGAGAACTGTACGATTTCTACATGGAAACCTCAGACAGATCTTTATGCTTCTTTACTTCTACTATTAAAAAAAAAATCAAATTTCATCACCAATTTGAAAAACAGAATGGTGCTTTGTCTCTACCTAGTCTCTGTTCTGCCTACCTATAGTTTTTCTTTCTCCCCATATACAGAACACACCCAATGGTTTCTTCATAAGGGGAGGTTTGCATACCAATAAACTGCTAATTTTAGGCTTTATCTACAGCTAGAAGAGTAAATGTGCCTATCTCTTAACCTGAAAAAAAATCCCATGAACATTTTCTCTTATCTAGTCACTCTATACATCCCTTCCAACCCCCTATAGATGTTCTAATAGCTCTGACCATTCTTTAACTTCTTTAGCAAAAATCATGTTTTTTATCAGCAATAAATGGCTTCCTTTCTCTTATTTCTCAAACGATTGGTAGAATATTTCCTTTGGGTTTCACTGGATATATATAACATTCCTATTACTTGCTTTTTATTGTAAATATACCTTTAAGAAAAAAGCAAAATGAGAAAACCCAAACATTTATGTCTCCTTTTGGTAAATAGTTTTTTACCTGTTAACTAGCTTTTTATTTGGGAGCAAAACCAATTGTCTTGAATTATTGACAAATCTATTGTACTAAGTAAGCTTTGAGGACAAAGATGATTTTTACTCTGTCTTCCCACAGTGCCTAAGAACAGGTATATAATACTGTTGCTGGAGTACTAAGTTCACAGAAAGCAAATGCTATAAATAAAGATTATGAAACTGAGAAAGCACTTTATTAATTAATGAGTGCATTTCCTATGTAATGCATATCAAGTAGGATTTGCAAGGTAAACTGTGTGCTTGTGTGTAGATGCACAGGCCAGAGGTTAACAGCCAGTGTCTTCCTCAATGGCTCTTCGGCCTTAAACACTGATGTGGTGTCGCACAAATTTGGCTAGCCAGTTTTGGGAATCCTGTTTCTACCCCCACAGAACTGTAACAAATGGTGGCCTGCCACTTTCCCACTTATGTGGCTGTTGGGGATCTGAATGCTGGGCCTCATACTTGTGGGTTAAGTGCTTTACCTACTGAGACATCTCCCCAGCCCCACCAATGCATACTTTCAAACCTCAATTACATTTATAAATTTGAGTATACAGTGATCTAATTCCAATTTTATAAGATAAGTTATTCATATAGCTATAGGTTCTTTTCTTTCCTTTGTCTTGTTGAGACATGGTCTCCTTATAGCCATAGCTGGCCTGGAACTATGTTGAACAGGCTAGCCTCAATCTCAAGCGATCTCTCTGCCTCTGCCTCCTGAGTGCTGGGATTAAAGGTGTACCCTTCCACACTGGGCTAGTCTGTTTCTTAATGACCCTCATCTCACAAGGATTCAGCTTCAAATATCTAAATTGTTCTTAAATATAGTAAAAACAAACATGTTTCCCCAGCTACTAAAACTAGGGCTTTTTCCTTTATAATAGCGTGTAATTACAATTTAGTAATTGTTACAGTGAATACCCCTACCCACCACCACCAGTAAGTGGAAATCCGTCACTAACAAACTATAAGCCAAAACAAGAAAACTCTGTTTCTTTAATAACAGGGGCATTCAAGATCAGAGGTCTATCTGTTTAGAACTGCTGGGTCAACATGGGATTACAACTGTTTAGGGACTGGTTAAAGGTTAGCCTAACAATACTCCTAGTAGAACAGAGCGGTCAACAGCTTGCACTCTTCAGATAGATTGGCGAGTGGCATGATGTTCCATCCAGGGGTCATTTCTCCAGTGAACTCTCCTTTGATGGTACTGAAGTAGGCAAAGCCTCCATAAGAACATTCAGCAGGTTTCCAACGTTCAATCTTAAACTAGTAAGTACTCTTTCCTGCAAGGTGCTTTTTAAACTCTGGTTTTTCCCTTTCCTTTTTCTTCAAATCTTGCAGATTGGGTGGATCTCTGGATTTCCAAAAGTTCAAGAACACATCTTCACTATAACATCAGTTAAAATGAGTGAAATCCTTCGCTCCTACGGGGAGGAAAAAAAAAATATTACTACCAACTTAAGTTTCAAGTTTTCAAATGAAAAAAAGTGCTTATTTTTATATAATATTCTACCCTCTCAAAATGAACTCTAGGCATATCTAAATATGTCCCCAGTTCAAATGGGTCTAGTTAGATATAGATATTTATTTTTTAAATATTTTATTTATTATTTAAAAAGTTTATGTATGAGTGTATTGCCTGCATATATGTAAGTGCAATGCCTTTGGAGACCAGAAGAGGGTGTTTGATCTCCTGGAACTGTAGTTACTGATGGTTGTTAGCTGCCATGTGGGTGCTGGGAACTGAATTCAGGTCCTTTTCAAGAGTAGCCAGTGCTATTAACCACTTAATCTCTCCAGCCCCTAGCTACTTGTTTTTTCGGAGTGTCTCACTATGTAACTAGTGGTGATTCCCCACTGTCTCTGCTACCAACTTCTGGGATTATAGGTATGGGCTATCATACCTGAGGTCACAGGGTATTTATGTAGTAATAAGGCTTACAGATTTGTAATTGATACTTGAAAATTAGTATTCTTTCACATAAGGAATGCATTATTTACCATACAATATCTATTAACTAACTTTTCCTACAAAATTCTTGTATGGTCTTCTGGGTATACAAAATTAAGCTAGGCAAATTTTGAATTAGACTGCCAGTATATAAAGAAATTGCTATATACCACCAACATTAACTAACCAACCAAACAACCCTTTAATAATTCTTCTCTAAAGAAACTAAAATTGTGAAGACGAAACATTTTTATCAGAACAAAATGTTAATTTACACACAACAGGTACGCATCATCCCTGAACTGCACCAACAGATTAATGATCTGAATTGTTTTGTCTTTTCTCTACTCAGAAATGATTTTCTAACTGATTTCTAGGGTGGTTGAGCTCAATATACCTGTTGCAAATGAATCCTTCCCCAACTGGTAGGTGGTCAGCATTATACAGCACTGAGGCCCAGCAACACTGGTAATCTTCTAGGACTTCTGATGCTTCTATTAGCCATACAATCTGAGAAGTTGAAGGTTAATAGGTCCAGCAGGCCTTGGAGACAACGGGCTCTAGTTGACCACAGATCAACTCTTATGCTCTCATCTTCATTTCCTGTTGAATTATGTAATTCTTTTCTCTCCAGCTTTACTGTCCACAATGAAAAGAAGCTGACAAAAATTCAAGATTTCAGCAAGAAGATTCAGTTCCCTGGTACTTCTCTGGACTGAGTATATTCAGAGTAGTTCAGTCTTTCCAGATATTTCAAGGTTCTCCTATGTTTTGGGTTAGGTTGCTGACTTATGAGTTGTGTTCCTGGCATCAATTGTTTGAAGTCAGAAAAAGTTAAGCTAGACATAATAGCAGGTAAACCTCAGTAAATACTGGAAGGTAACCAAGAAGACCATGGATAGGGGAGGTTAATGTAAGGGAAGATACTCCTAATCTTTTAACAACTACCACAAGCATTTAAATTATAGTAAACTGCTTAATACCCATGGCTAAGTAGAGGATAGTGGAATCATGTGAGGATCCGCCTTTGAAATGCCTGGCTGCTGAAATTCCCTTTTAGCCTTGTCCACAACTAAAGAAATGATCTTAAACTTCATTTCTCTGTGTGTGCTTTTTTAAGATTGGATTGCACTAGGTAGTCCAGGTTGCCCTCAAACTTGTGTTTCTACTGTCTTGGCAGAATTAACTAAATTTAAATGTTCTAAAAAATAGTTCCCTTTCCTCTGCTTTTTATATTAATGAAAACTACCTTTCTGATAGTCACATATAGTTGAATGAAAGGGAGTGAAATGGATTGGGAAGGACTAAAAAGTGACAACTGTTTTTTCTTCCTCTTGTACCTGAATAAAAACAAAAAAATCAGAATCCCGAGGCACTTCAGCATTAGAAAAACATAATAGGGTATATATATATATATCCCCATCCATCCATCCATCCATCCATCCATCCATCCATCCATCCATCCATCCATCCATCGCTAATTTCTTGGTCTTCTGATGGGCTTTGGACTGCAGCAATTGAAAAGTCTAAAAGAAGCTAGATTCTGAAGTCTCTGAATACTCTTAGTGAACTGCTAGAACAGGCTGTAATGTCTATGAAAGAAACATAGATTTAAAAAGCTAACTGTATATTGGCTATGAATTTCATTGGAGGACCGTTTCCAGAAACAGATAGTCCTACAAGAGACCTACTTGGGGAGGATTTACTCATGAAACTAAAATCAACCTGTTGACACCAAGCTTCTGAGAGCACTAACTAAATGAAAAAAAGTTATAATGTATACATAAGAAAATGTATCTTCCTCAGTTTTTTTTTTTTTTGTCTTTTTTAAGCAGGGTCTCCCTGTAGCCCCAGCTGTCCTAGAACTCACTATGTAGACCAGGCTGGCCTTGAACTCACAGAGATCCGCCTGCCTCTGCCTCCCAAGTGCTGGGACTACAGGCGTGCACCACCACGCCGGACCTTCCTCAGTTTTTGACTGGAGAAAATTTAATACTCTTACCATTACTGGATGACTCCATGAAATCAAAACCTATGGCAGCAGAGGATGAGAGTCTATAGCTTTATACATCCTGTTACTTAAGAGTTTAGAATCATGGAGCTGGAGGGATGGCTCTGCAGTTAAGAGCTGTGGCTGCTCTTACAGAGGACCTAGGTTTGGTTCCCAGCAGCTAACTGGCAGCCAACAACTCCAGTTCTAGGTGATCTAATGCACTCGCCTAGCCTCTGTGGGCACTGCACATACTTGGTGCACTTACATGTAAACAAACACTCATTAAATAAATAAGCAGTTTTAAAAAAAGTTAAAGAGGAATCATGAATAACCTAGATACTGTGTTAGAGGCAAAAGTTCTGAGAACAGGCTCCCCATGCTTGCTTCATGTCACCCTCAGGCTAGCTATGTTTTCTTAGCTTTACATACAAAGGGAGAGCTTTCTTCTGCTCTGGGCATTAATTTCTACACACAAAATGTATAGGTGTCTAAAAGTTAAAATAACTCTGTCATCCACTGGGATGTCTCTCACTGGGGACCACAGCTCACTGATTAGGCTAGTCTGGCCAGTGAGCTCCAGGGTTCTGCCTATCTCCCCCCTCAGCATATCATTGCAACAAATTGGCTTTTTAAACTAGGGCTCTAACTCAGGTTCTGATTCTTACAGGCAATCACTCTAGTGAATGAGCTATTCCCCACAACCCTAGAGTAACATATTTTGAGGTCTAAATATATCATTTGGTAATTCCTTTGTTCCTTCCTCCCCTTGAGATGGGGTCTCTTTATATTGCCTAGGCTGGTCTTGAACTCCTAGGCTCAAGTGATCTGCTTGTCACAGCCTTCTAGTAGCCTAGACTATAAGCACTCATGACTGAGCCTGGCCTTACAAATGCATCTTTGAAAGTAGTCAATAATAATATAATTATTTATTAAAAATGCTGCCATTTTCTTTTCAGGATTTTATAAGCCCCGTGACTTTCTGTGACTGTCTAATGATGCCATTACATGCTTTAAGATTTCAAGGAAACATACTCAGTGGAGCCAACTTCTCTCTCTCTTTTTTTTTTTTTGGTCCTTTTGATACAAGGTGTCCCTGTAGCCCCAGGTGACCTGGAACTCACTATGTAGACTAGGCTGGCCTTGAACTCACAGAGATCCTCCTGCCTCTGCCTCCCAAGTGCTAGGATTAAAGGCATGTGCCACCATACCCGGCTAACTTCTCTTTTTTAAAACCTGGATGAGGCAGGACAAAAATTCTGCTTGTTTATTAAGAAACACAGTAAACTAGAACAATGAAACTAGCTCAAAATTAAGAGATTCTTTCTGAAAGTTGCTGTATGCCTGCAGGCAGGTTAGAGTACAATAGAATTTTAGTTCTAGAAACTACGACTCATGGTGATCCTATTTCAGCCAGCTTTAGGCAAAAATTGGCTTCATTTCTGTAAGAACATACTATAGTTGTCAAGATCTTAGTTAAGAGGCTTTATTTGCTTCTACCTCAACAATATAACCACTTTTCATGAATATTAGCTACTTACTTCAATACAAGGGGTTCAGCAGTATGATTATTTACTTATACAGTATTTCAAAGACTCTAAAAAGAGTCATTACAGCCCCAACTCAGGTGCAGAAGCAGGGCATTCTGAAAGCACTAGTATATGCTACATGAACTTAAATGTTACCATCCAAAACCCCCTTCACATCAAATTAAATCTTTACCTCTGAATCCCTCCAAATACAGAAATACTTGAGAGGAAGCATCTCAACTGTAACAGCTGAACTGCTGTAGTTCTCAGATACTAAATTTTTTTGGAGACAGGTCTCCCTACCTATACCAACCCCTGCCTTTGTTTGTGCCACCATACCTGGTCCTTGAATCTAATTTTAAGTTAAAAAATTAGAAACAATTAAACAGTCAAGTCTTACCCACCCATCACTTGCACAAATAGGCAGGTATCAGGAGGTAAGCCCCAGAAAGGGGAGGAAAAAAACCTAACAGTGACATGGAACTAGGAGTTGAACTCTTAAGGTACTAGCAATGAGTGCAGTTGTGCCCTAACAGCTCTACTCCTTAGAACCGCTAAAACTGTAAGAGAAAGACAGAATGAGACTAATACTTAATGGCGTTTGCCCCATTATCTTCCATCTGCAAGGTCTAACTGCAGACTTCACTTCCACATGGCACTCCTAGAGCCTGGTGTTCACAGCATTTGAAATAACAAAGCACCTTCCCCTTAAAGAATTATTTTTTGAAATGAAGATTGCTCAAAGCACATCAGCAGAGACTCTGTGATGTGATAAGCTGAGCTCTGCAGTTAACTCAGATGCTCTGCACTGAAGAGAGAAATGCTGGAGACAATGCCAGGACTCACCTCTTGAAATTAGATCATATTCACATTTTTTTCCACTTTAAATGCTAAAGCACTGACATGCAAACAAAAAAAAAATATAAAATTTCTTAACACTGTTAGTCTGAAAGAAAAGTCAAAATATCATGGCTAACCAGATTCATTATTGAGAATCAACAAGTGTTAGGTCTAGGATTTTGGATTGATTGATAATACCATACTCCCAACACCAAATGTTTATTTTGGAAAAGGGTTAATGAATGAGTAAAAAAGATGCAGTTGTTAAAATGACCCAAAATCCCAAGAGAAATGATATACACACATATATGTATATACAAATACATATACATATATATGAACAAGGACATTTGGGTTTAAAGTTAGTAGTCAAATTTTCCAAGGACGTCTTTTTTTTAAAAAAAAAAAAAAAACAAAAAAAACCACAGAGCCAAATTTTTATGTTTTAAAACCACCTCCTTGATCTAACACTGTTAGAAATGAATGAATTATCCAATTTGTATTTATTTATTTTTCCCTGTAACGTCACTTGGTTCTTGGCTACTAACCTTTCATGTTACTCTTGGTTTTGTCAGTTTGCTTGCCTGTGGGGGTTTGGGCCTGCTGACCCTGCCCACTGGAAGAGGCTGCCTGCTGTGCTGCTTTCTGCTTTAACATTGTCCAATCAAACGTGTAGTCGTATTGGTGGTTCAAGGTTCTGGAAAATAAAAAGGCATGTCAATTCTTTAATATTCATGTTCAGTTGAACAAATAGCCTTTTCAAGATGGCAAGGGCATTTCCTTAGCATCTAAGTTATTTCTTCCTAAGTGTGGGTATCTTCTAAGATTCCCTATAAGGTTGGGGCTGGAGAGATGGTTCAGAGGTTAAGAGCACTGACTGCTCTTCTAGAGGACCCACACGGCAGCTACAAACCATCCTTAACTCTAGTTCCAGGGGAATCTGAAGCCCTCTTCTGCCTCCTTGGCATTGCATGACACGGGTACACTTACTTACATGCAGGCAATACACTCATACACATAAATAAAAATAACAAATAAAATATTAAAAAAAAAAAGATTCCCTATAAGGAACTTTTTAAAAATGTTCAGTAAAGGCTGGGCATGGTGGTACATACCTCTAACTGCAACACTTGGGAGGCAGAGGCAGGCAGATCTCTGAGAGTTTGAGGCCATCCAGAGCTACACAGTGATATGTCTCAAAAAAAAGTTCAATAAAATACACTCGGGAGGCAGAGGCAGAATACACTCGGGAGGCAGAGGCAGGAGAATCTCTGTGAGTTCAAGGCCAGCCTAGTCCACATAGTGAGTTCCAGGACAGCTGGGGCTACAGGGAGACCCTGTCTCAAAAAGACCAATACTTCTCACATGCCATGAGTAAGGCAAAAATATGTTCCCATTCTGGTCTGCCAAATTAGATAAAAGGCACACGGCTTTAATCCCAGCACTAGGGAGGCAGAGGCAGGCAGATTTCTCTAAGATGGGAGGCCAGCTGAGGAAGTCTCAAAAAGACCAAAAACCATAAGAACTTTCTAGGAAAGTTTGTATAAACTAGCAGCTTGTGAGGGAGATGGTATTGGTGCCTTTTCTGGAGTTAAAGGATATTTGTTAGTCTCTTCTAAGATCTGAGCTACAGGTACTCTACAATCTAGCCTGGAACTAGCTACATAGAAGAGGATGACTTTGAACCCCTGACTTTCTGGTGTCCATCTCCCAAGGCTGGGATTACAGGCATATACCACCATACTTGGCAGATTTATATTTCAAAGCTGTTTCATTTGGTACAGAATATGGTTCTGTATCAAAACTAGAGTTCCATTGAGTGGCACTGCAGCCACTCAAATGATTCTAAATGTCTATTCCAAACCCAAGCCATTGCAAGTGTATTTACCCTACTAGTGGACAAATACCAAATTAGTACCAAAGAACTACTTCTTACAAGGTACTTACAGTGATTTGACATCCTCTAGTTCATTAATTATCCACAAAAGGGTAAGGAAACAGATTTAATTTAGTTCTTTTTTTTTTTTTGGTCTTTTTTTGAGACAGGGTCTCATTGTAGCCCCAGCTGTCCTGGAACTCACTATGTAGACCAGGCTGGCCTCAAACTCACAAAGATCTGCCTGCCTCTGCCTCCTGAGTGCTAGGATTAAAGGCATGCGCCAACCCCCCCCCCCCGCCCCCGGCTAATTTAGTTCTTTTGCTAGAGTTTAGCCTTAAAAATACCCTAACAGTGAGCCAGGCATGGTGATGCACACCTTTAACCTAGCACTCAGGAGGCAAAGGCAAGCAGATTTCTGAGACTGAGGCCAACCTGGTCTACATATCAAGTTCCAGGACAGCTGGGGTTAGAGAGACTCAGTACCCCCAACAATCAAAAACAAAACAAAGCCCACCAATAACAAAAAACCCAAAACAAACCCTTAAGAACGGACCTGAAAAGGATGCGGAATAGCTGCCTCAGATACATGTAATCCGGAGCTTCTTCAAAGCGCAGTCCACGACAATAATTTAAGTACATGGCAAATTCTGCAGGAAACCCCTGTAAGTTCAACAGTTAAAACAGAAACATTTAATAAGGAAAATAATACCTTAAAATACAAGCAAGAAGAAATGAACATATGGAGTGCTTTGAAAAAAACTGTGACAACTAAAAGTATACCCCAGTTTTCCAAATGAATTGAAGCACAATTTCATCGGCCTAAGATTTCACATTAGACATTTTATTGTAGAATGCATATCCTTCTCCTGTGGCACTGAGTTCCTAAACCATTCAGAACTTATTCTATTATCAATGTCTAATAATCTGATAACAAAAAAGGGAAGACAGTGTGATTCTTAATCATATTGGGAGAATGATTAGTATAATCTCTCCTACCCTCTGAAGTTGATTACTTTTTCTTTAAAACATGTTAGTATATACCAGTTGGGCATGGTGGTGTATACCTTTAATCCAGCACTTGAGAGGTAGAGGCAGGAGGATCTCTGTGCAGGGAGACCCTGTCTTTAAAGACAAAAAACACTGGGCGTGGTGGCACACGCCTTTAATCCCAGCACTTGGGAGGCAGAGGCAGGCAGATCTTTTCGAGTTCGAGGTAAATAGTGAATTCAGAAAGCCAGGGGAAGCCCGCGAAAAAAAAAAAAAAAAAAAAAAAAAAAAAAAAAAAAAAAAAAAGTATTTTTATGTTGTATGAGCATTTTGCCTACACAAATCTAAGTGGACCCATGTGTGTAATGCCTGCAAAGCCCTGAAGAGGGCATCAGATTCCCCTGGATTTATAGATAGTTGTTAGCTGCCACGTGAGAGCTAGGTCCCAACCTAGGTCCTCTGCAAAAGCACCCAGTGCTCTTAACCACTGAGCTATCTCTCTAGCCCATTAAAAAAAAAAATTTTTTATTTTGTGTATTGCCTGCGTGTAGGTAAGTGCACCCGTGTCATGCAATGCCAGTGGACAAGAGAAGAGGCTGTGGATCCCCTGGAACTGGAGTTACCAACAGTTGTCAGTTGCCATGTGGGTGCTAGAATTCGAAGCCTGGTCTTCTGCAAGAACAACCAGTGTTCTTAACCACTGAGCCATCTCTCCAGCTCCCCTTTTTAAATAATTAAAAAAAAAATTTTTTTAATTATTTTTATTTTATGTGTATGGGTGTATTGCCTACATGGAGGTGAGTGCACCTGTGTCATGCAATGTCTGCAGAGGTCAGAACAGGGTCTCATGTAGCCCTGACTGGCCTGGAGTGCCCTATGGGGGGGGGGGGGGGACACAAACAAACTCAAGAGATCTACTTGTCTCTGCCTCCCTCAGAATGGCGGAAAATTTTTAAAGGCTTCCTATATTTGGTGTATCTGTCGGCATGTGTGTGCTCTATACTTCAATGGAGATCAGATGACAACTTTTAAGAGCTGGTTCTTCTACCATGTGGGTCCAGGTATCAAACTCAGGTTTACCTGCTAAGCCATTATGCCAGTCCTTATATAAATTTTGTTTAAGACTTTTTATTTCTGTGTATGTATGTTTGTCTGAGAGTCTGCCATATGTGTGCTGGTGTCCACAGAGGCCAGAAGGTGTTGGATTTTATGGATCCAGTTATAGGCAGTTATGAACCACCCAATGTGAGTGCGAGGAACTAAACCTAGGTCTGTTATTACCTTACACAAAACTTCAACAGGAGTAGACATCTTCTTTTCACTAATCTTTTCATATTTTTGTTTCTTTGTTGCAGCCTGTAGAAAAAGAGAAGTACATATACAAATTTGGTACTACTCAGAACTTTAACTGGCTAGACAAAAACATGCCATTGGAGAGTCAAGATCTGAAAGAGTGGGTGAAACCAAGTCTATGTTGGATAAGGCTACTCACACAAGAATAAGTACTGTTTTCCTTTAAAAAACCAATAAAGGATCAAAATACCTATTAAGTTCTATGCCAGACTCATTGACATACACCTCAAAACACATTCGAACATTAAAATCTCTTAGCCTGTGTCAACTTCCCTGTAGATAATCAGTGCTTACCATGGGTACCAGCACAAAAGAATCTATTCTTTAGGTAGAAGGGTAGGCCTCTAGTAACCAAGTTCTTACTGAAAAGGTTAGGTTTTATTTCCAGAGTTGAAGGCAAAAATAAATTAACTTCAGTTCAATCTCAGATTTGGAAAATACTTAAAAAGATATCCTCCACAACATTTCTTTTCTTTTCTCTCTCTCTTCCCCTCTTTCCTTCCAAGATTCAGGGAAAAGGTGATCTTGCTATGTTGCCTCTGCTGCTGGGCTCACACTAGTTTCCTAAGTGTTGGGATCATATCTTAAGTTTTTTTTTTTTACTTTAAAAATATTAATTATGGGTATGTGTATGGGTCATGTGCACATGAGTGTAGATGTCCAGAGTCCAGAATCACCTGAAGCTGGAGTTATGAGAAGCTGTGAGCCACCAAACATAGGCATTAAGAGCTAATGAGCAGTATGTTCGCTTAACTGCTATCTCTCCAGCCCCACCTGTCTTATTTTTATTTTTTCAATAAGAAAAACAAAAATAAAACCCCAGAAATTTGAGTCTGATTTACCTTTAGCCCTTGCCATGGCAGACTGGTTCTATTAAAATACATCAAAACATATCCTAATGATTCCATGTCATCTCGGCGACTAGAAAAGAGAATGTTATTTCATAAAACATGTTATAAAAACCAGAAATCAAGTACTGTGTACAGAAAAGAATGCTTCCAAATGAAGAAAAGAACCCCTATTTGGTGTCTTATGAACTCAAGTGCAAAAATAGGAAAAACAGAGACTATGTCCCACCAATCTACTTCTGCCTTATGTTTGTTCTGAGACAAGGTATCACTCTGTACAGCCCATGCTGATTTTAAACTTGGATGTGATCTTGTCTCAGTCTATCAGAATGCTAGGATGACAGGCATGAGCTACCATGCCCAAGTCTCTTACAATATTTTCCTTGCTTAAAACAAAACAATTGCCCCCAAATTTCCAAAATTCAACTTCTATCACTAAAATATAAAATGCTCAAGACTAGTATTTAAAAAGTAGTAATACTTTCAACTGCAAAAAGAAACATCAAATTAGCAATTACGTTTCTAATTTTCATTTTGTTTTTGTTTCCTCAAACTTTTTCTAAAAATTATTTTTATTTTATTGTATGAGTGTATTGCCTGCATGTGTATAAGTGCATCTGTGTCGGATTCAAACCTGGGTCCTCTGCAAGACAGCCAGTGCTCTTAACCACTGAGCCATCCATCTCTCCAGCTCCATTTGTTTCTTTTTTAGATAGGGTCTCACAATGTAGCCCTGGCTAACTCTATGCAGCCCTGAGTGGCCCTAAATTCTTTTTTTTTTTTTGGTGTTTTTGAGGCAGGGTCTCCCTGGAACTCTCTACCTAGACCAGGATGGCCTTGAACTCACAAAGATCAGCCTGCCTCTGCCTCCACCTCCCAAGTGCTGGGAGGGATATTAAAGGCATGCACCACCACTCCTAATGTGGCCTTAAATTCTTAACAATTCTCCTGCTTGGGCCCCCAAGGTGCTAGGATTCTAAGTGTACTCCACTGCACCATTTAACTTTCTATCATGTAATAGTTTTTTCCCCCAAAGAAACAACCTTCGAGGAAGAAAATGAGAAAGACCGTGCTCAATTAACTGGCTTCTCTACATTGGCTTTAAAAGCAAAAGGTAAAATAATAAGCATTCTTCAGAAATTTAGCTAAGAGATATCCTTAAGACATAGCAAGAAGCTAAATAATGGATTTGATAAGCATCTATTAAATTTTCAGGCTTACCTTTGTTCAATACCGAGATGTGCATTGATGCTGGCATATCGGGCGGTGCCAGTGAGGTTCTTATCTTCTCTGTATGGTATGTGTTGCCTTGTCCTGTTGTCTCTGTACTTTTTGGCCAAACCAAAATCAATAAGGAATAACTTTAAAAGAGAAATAAAAGAGACATTAGGTTTCCAACTTTATTCAATCAAACTGAATTCAAACATATCAAAACGAAATTTAAGTAGAACAGATAATATATCCCAGTAAGCTATAACTATTTTAATCAATAAGTTTAAAAAAAAACTCAGTATTATATGTAGTAATTTATCTTTATCTGTGCAACTTCATCTGCCTAGTTCGTTAAACAACACAGTTGCCTGTCTTCACATAGTATCTATGTGCCTCCTAGCAGAGTTGCCAAGTGTGCCATTTACCATAATGAAATTTGATATCCCACTTCTATGGTTTAGTAGGCATGTTCCAAAATCTCCACACAAGCTATCTTGGACTCTTCCCTCCCACAAAGGCCATTCTTCAGTATGTCAACAAAATGCTCATTATTTAAATAATATTAAGCCTGAAAGCCCAATTATCTCCAACAAAATAATTTTTTCAATAATACAAATTAAGACTTTTGTAAAGAAACAAGCACTACATTCTATTGTTTTGTAACTGTCATTTGGAAAACACAAAATATTAATCCACATAAAATTTAAGGTTTGGCTTTTATAAAAAACTACTTATGCTATAATAAAATTATGTCTACCTTATTATCAAACTAGACATGTCTAGACATACTATTGATAAAACTATTGTTTCCTTTCTAATTACAGCTATGCTAGGAAAACTGTTAATCTCTTAGGCTATGTGTCAAAAGCAAACAAAGTCATCAGCTCAGCTTAAAAAGACCTGACCAAGCACCTGTCTTAAGGTACCCCGTACCTACTTCAGCTAGGTGCTATATACAATTTTCATTTGGCCTGTTATAAAAGAACGAAAACTAAATCACTAGTAAAATACACCAAACAATGAAAGCTCTGTAAATAAGCTCTGTAAGCTTAAACTCCCTTAAATTCCATATTTAGGAATATGGGCAAGTATTGCAATAAAGCTTATACTGCATATTTCTCTTAATACAAGAACCACTGGCTCAGCATACACATATTAAATGAGTACGCCCTTCTGCTAAAGAAAATGATTAAGTTCTGCAGATTCATGTGAAAACAGAAAAAAAATAACAACAAAGGATATTAAGTTTCATGGCATTAAAAAAATCATTAGTAAATGAGACTTTTGAATAAAAAGTGAATAATTAGTTAATGGAGTTTTTCCCAGAGGTTATTTTCCGGGATAGCTTCATTTTATATTTTAGAGGAGGAAAAGGGACAGCTCTAAACAAGATTATGACTGATGGCTATTATTCACATCTAAATCTTCATATAACCAGAACCTTTCTAAACGACAAAAGACTGATTCAAGAAACTTAGTACTACTCATTGAACTGCTTTCCTCCACATAAATGAGGACACAGTATTAAAAAACAAAAACTATCTCCTTAAACACTTCAATGTTTAATGTTAAAATAAGATAGAACCAATCAAGGAAAGTCAGTATCAAGGGTAAGAAAGACAGGGGTATGTCTGCAAAGACAGGCAAATTTCTTTGCTAGGACAAGTCATTTTCTGTGAACTAGTTAATTGTATGGATTTGTACCTATTGTTAAAACTACACACTACCTATCTATTCATAAAAGCATATAGAAATGAGTTAATAGTTGACTGGGGTTATTTTCTTTAGAAACAATATAACTAATTTTAGTTTTAGTTGCTCCAGCAATCTTTAAACAGAGAGAACATTTTCCTGTCTTTCCAAAAAAATGCAATGGTCACCTAACCTGTGCATTAACAAAACACTAAAACATACTGAATGGATAATAAGGCCCCAAAACATTAAAACTCTGTCTTATCTTATAATGTACCTATTTACCCATGTGCTCTTGTGCCCCAACCAAGACTTAATCATAACAGTAGCTCTTTTCCTTCTTTTTTAAAGAAAGGGTCTCACCATGTAGCTCTCTGGCTTGCCTGGAACACTCTAGGCAACTGTGGTTCACTTGACCTTGCTGTGATCCTCCTCCCTCAGCTGGGATTACCAGCATGCACTGCCACACCCAGCTCAATAGTTGGTATTTTTCCTAGATAAAAGAAGCTGACCGTCTGAAGCTTTTTGAATTGTAGGAGGTGGTCCTTGGACTAAGGTTGGGCCAGTGCAATAGAGATTTAAATTGTTATTCAGATGATATAGATGGATGACCAAGGCGTTACATTCTTCATTTCTGATTATTCAGGGCAGTAACATCAAAAAACTAAAATAATCATCTGGTCCAGAAGCATAAAAATTTATATACCTATATTTTCCTTTAACAGTACTCAGGCAGTTGAGGCAGGAGTATTACTTTGAGTTTGAAGGCAGCCTGAGCTACATACAGAGGGACCTTGTCTCAAAAAATGTCGAATAGATGGTTATATTTTACTTAGGAATAAATTACTGGGGTGTTTAGCCTGCTTGAATCTAAATAATCAGATTATACATTCATCTTTCATGTTACTAATGGCCACTGACCGTAGTCTGTTAAGAATATAATCTAGTTCCAGAGCATATAATGCTCTTCAAGCAACCATTTGGGGGAAGCTAAGAATTTATAAACTGTGATCAATCAATTTAGAAACACTAAATCTGACCTATACTTACCTGAAGTTCTTAGGGAAGAAGAGAAAGGTAAGGCAGAATATATTCACTTTACAGTATTGATAAGATTGAATTTATGTGTATTAAGTTCTGCAACTCCATATACATTTTAAAAAACTACTATTAGGTAAAGACTCCAATACTAAGCCAGCATAGTATTTCCTCAGATCATGTTAGAGATCTAAAACAAAGACAATATCCTATTTTCATTTTCTCTAAGCTTTACAAGTTTTAAGCAAAAGCCACAAAACATCTTAGTAATCTTATGTTTGCCAAGTATGTCTGAATAATGCCAACGTAAGAGGTGCTTGAGCAAGATTTATATTCTCCAGAATTAAAAGTAATTAAAATAAAGCAATAAAAAAGAAAAGCACATGAATTTGGGATTGAGGTTGGAATAGGAGACAGTTTCAGACCTGGTTTAATCCTGAGAAAGATGGGTCCTGAGAAGTACTAACAGTCATGCTTCTTTTCCTCTTCCCCACTGGAGATTCTAAACACTAAACAGACAATAGAGGGTGGCAGTGCATCAAACAGTATTGCTTACATTGCAACAATGGCCGGCGCAGACAGGCAACACCGAGGCATTAGAGAAAGAACAGGGTAGCCAAATGCCATCCTTCTTCCACCAAGCACTGGAGCTTCTCAGTTTTCCAAATAAGAACCATATGCTCAAGAACATTTCAATTCTAGAATACTTGGGCTTTTAATGCCACTATTATTGTGTCACTGCCTTAAACAGGGATAGCAATGGTGACATTTGGCTCTTTTATTTTAAAATTAAAAAATGGGGAATTTGGATCTGCAATCTTTGACATCACAATCTGCCCTTCCCCCAAAAAGAGTGTGCAGATAAAAAAAATCTTCAGTAAGGAAGAGGTAGAAGGCATTTAGTCACCTTAAAATTTATTTTCAAAGGCATGCAGGGCTGATCACTGAAGAGATGAGAAACCTCACTAAGATTGGAGTAGCTACTCCTGAATATCAAATTCAGAACAATATCCAAGTAAGAAATTTTTTTTAACTTCAAAAATCAACCTCAAAAGTCCTCCCCCTTAAGCCTTTCCCCTTGGAGACTAGAAAACTACTGGTATAAGCTGACCAAAGGATCCAGTCTTACACAACTGGCACTTTTCAATCTGCAATACAAAAAACATCAAAACCAACTACATAAACAAGAGCAACATTTATATTTGAATTCTAGATAAATAAACACTTCCCTTCTGTCCTATGATCTCTCTGAAAACTGTTACAGGTTAGCAGCTCCACAAAATTCTTTTTACTATCTGTACAGCGGACACAGGTTCTAAAAAGGAATTCATCAATGGGAACATGGATTTCCCAACACAGCCATGTGATCAACAAGCTATTCATTAAGGAGGGAAAAATCCCCAAAGTGAAGTGTTACTATCTAGGCCATTGTTTTAATTGAAGGTACAAACCATGAACTGTACCAGCAATATGCAGAACTGGGATAATGCATGTTTTAGGGTAAGAAAATGGGAAGGAGAGGGCTAGGAAATGGCCAAAAGAATAGTCAAACCGCCAAAGCTACATAAAAAAAGTTAAGATTAGTAATTCTTTTTTCAATCCAATTCCCAGGTTTTACAAAAACTAAGAACCTGGATGCGTCAAAGAGAGAAGCTACATTTCTTTGCAATTTGGGTACAGCAAGATAAATTATATGATTGGAAAACTTTTCAATAAAGTTCAATGAAAAATATAATTTCCTAAAACTTGGTCAGAACAACATTAATCTCACACATTAACAAGTAACACCAATTCTAATGTAACGGCTCCAAGTTGGCATTCATACAGGCAAACAAAGGTAAACATTTACAGCTGGACCTAAAAACACCAAACATTCCCTAACAGTTTAACAATTGGGAAGTTTCCTTCCAAAAACAAAACAAACAAACAAAAAAGATCCCCAAGAACAAAAAAGCCACCCAAGTTGTATTGAAGTTGAGAATTTCTATCAGATCATTAGATCATAATATGCTTAGTGCATTGCCAATGCTGCCTGTCTGCCCGAGCTCAACATTGAATGAATAAAGAAAGCAATTCACTCAATAAAACTAATCATTGCAGAAAAAAATGTCAATACAATTAGTTCTAACTGCAATCATGCGTCACTAAAGCCTAATCACCCCTTAAGTCCAACCATCTTCAGAGACCCCCAATAAGCACTAATTTTGTTGTATGAATGTTCATTTCACTTGTCTGTTGTCTTTATTTTCCTTTAAAAGCAGGGGATGGGGTGGGGTGGAGAACTCACCCAACTTGGAACACAAGTAATAAACTGTCAACTACTTTTGAAGCAGGCCCAAAAGTTATCCTTTTAAAAATACACAAATCCAAGGACTGAAGAATTCTCAATTATCAACCATGCTTAGTCAGCATGGGTCCCACACTGGCACAAGCAACATATATTACAAAAACCCATACTTTGGAGCCAAAGGTTAAAATCTGATTTGTAGCATCCAGAAAGAAATATATATAAAGGTTTTCACTATTCAAGTGAATGAAAAATAGATACAACAACTGTCCAAGTTAAATACAGATGATTACAGCTCATTAAAAAGCCCTTGGAATTTTATATTTTTGCATAAATAAACTTCGGTTGGGTAAGTTGGAGAGAATGTACTTCAAGTTACTAAGTTAATAGAGTTAGCCGATTATCCTTCTAGCATGATCTTTTAAAGCAATTACAGCAAATTCCATTTACTACAGCTTTTTAAAGATTGAAAGTTTATCAAAGCAATTCATGTCAATATTTTACTCTTCGTTCTTTCATGCAAAGAGCATTTGACTAACCTTATTACAGTGACGCCCAATACCCATTAGGAAGTTATCTGGTTTAATGTCTCTGTGTATAAAATTCTTTGTATGCACATATTCAATTCTACTGATCATCTGAAAAAGAAAAAGGGTAGAAATAAGTGATAAGAGAATTCATAATGACAATATTAGGAGAAAATTAAATGCAAAGAACAAAGCTCATTTATTTCTAGCTCAATTAATATCTAGGACTAAGTTTGTGGAGACTTTTGATTTGTTCAATGAGTACTAATGATTAAAAGCATGGTCTGACTTCACAGGAATACTTGGTGTCTGCAACACTCAATTACAAGAGTAATACGTTACTGTTTGGGAAGCTTTCCCATAGTCTTCTCCATGATTATATAGTTAAACATATCACTCTTAACAAGCCTTTTCAGACAGGATCTCACTATGCAGCCTCAGCTGGCCTCAAAGTCACAGAGATCCACCTGCCTCTACATCCTGAGTGTTTATGACTAAAGGCATGCCCAACCATGCCTGGCTTAACAATGTTTTTAAATACTTGGAAAGTTGGGCTGGAGAGAACCCAGGTTCGGTTCCCAGTGCCCACATAGCAGCTAACAACAGTCCATAACTCCAGTTCCAGAGGGCCTGATATCCCTATCCTCTTCTGGATAGTCACTGCATGAGTGCACTTCATACATGCAGGCAAAAAACTCATACACACAAAAATAAATAAAAAATTTAATACTTGGAAAAGTACATCAAAGTATGCACAGTCACTTCTTTTTTGTGGAAGTGGTACTAGAGACTGAACCCAGGTTAAGTATACATTCTATCACTGTGTTACACCATTTATTATCCTACTGGTGTGTATACATGCACGTGTAGGCCAGAGGTTGACTTCAGGTGTCTTCCTCAATTGCTCATGACCTTTTCTGAGATGGGCTCACTGAACACTCCCAGCACTGGGATTACAGACTCTTAAGTTTTTAAGGGGATACCGAGGATCCAAACCCAAGTTTGTATGGTAAACACTCTGACAGAGCCATCCCCCAGGTACCTTCCCACTCCCTGTAATACTGTTTTTTTTTTTTTTAATGCTTTAAAACACTTATTTTATATGTACGGATGTTTTCCACACATGAATGTATGAATGTAAGTGCACCATGTGCATGCAGTGCATGTGGAGGCCAGCAGAGGGTACTGAATACCCTAGAACTGGAATTACAGGTTGTTAGCTGCTATATGGATGCTGGGAGCCAAATAAGGGTTCTCTGAAGAGGAACAAGTGCTCTGAACTGAGCCATCTCTCCAGCCCCATCTTTTTAATGCTTACTATCATTTCCAATTTCCCCTATACAATACAATAGTACTGCTAATATATATTTAGATATATATTCTTACTGATTTATAAGGGCTATAAATTTAATACAATACTGGTGAGTTGCTGGATTTGAGAGTATATATGCATTTTTCATTCTGAAAGTAAACATCCACCTGGCTTACTTAATAGTATACAAAGTTTTTCTGTCCACCAGTACTACACAAAAGTATCTTTCCACTAACTTAGTTTTTTCAAATTTTGCCAATTTGACAATTAAAAAGAAAGACACTATTGCTGTATCTGTAATATGCTGTCTGGGCATCTGAACATTTTAGCTGGTGATTTGAATTTGCTATTCTTTGAACTATCAAACTAAACCCTCTGCCTATTATTCTTTTGGCTTGCCTTTTCTTAGCAATTTCTAACATTATCTGTATTCAACAAGCCTGTCTGTTTTGTAAATAGATATATTGTATATTCAGCCTGTCAACATTATCTTTTTCGGTCTTTTTGAAACAGGGTCTCCCTGTAGTCCCAGCTGTCCTGGAACTCACTATGTAGACCAGGCTGGCCTTGAACTCACAGAGACCCGCCTGCCTCTGTCTCCCAAGTGCTGGGACTACAGGCGTGTGCCACCATGCCCGGCTAATATCTTTTTAAAAATATTATTTTTATTTTATATGTATGAGTGTGTTGCCTGTGTATGTAAGTACCACTCATGTTATACAATGTCTAAGGAGGTCAGAAGATGGCTTTCAGATTCTCCTGGAACTGGAGTTACAAACGGCTGTTAACTGCAATGTGGGTGCTGGGAATTGAACACAAGTCCTCTTGCAAGAGCAGTCAGTGGTCTTAATCACTCAGACATCCCTCCAGTCCCTTTTTTTTTTTTTTTTTTTTTAAATTTTATTTTATGTGTATGAATGTTTTGCCTGCATGAATGTAAGTATCTGTGGAGGTCAGGAGAGGGTGTGAGGTCCCCTGGAACTGAAGTTACAGATGGTAGTTAGCCACCATGTGGGTGCTGGGAACCAAACCCGGGTCCTCTTTAAGAGCAATCAATGTTCTTAACTGTGGTAGCGTATGCCTTTAATCCCAGCACTGGGGAGGCAGAGGCAGGCGGATCTTTGTGAGTTCGAGGCCAGCCTGGTCTACATAGTGAGTTCCAGGACAGCTGGGGCTACAAGGAGACCCTGTCTCAAAAAGACAAAACAAAACAAAACAAAACAAAACCCAAGAATAATGGCACAAACTATAGACCACTTCATGTTACTTAACGTCTAAAGAGCAAGACACCATCACAAAGGCTTCCTTTTAACACTGCTCCTAGGAATGTTCTTTACCATGTTATACTTTTCTACCTCAGAACCTTGAATCACCTATCTTTACATCTTTCTCTCCTTCACACAAACTAGAAAGAGACTATTTTATTATAGATTTGACAGTGGTAAACCCTCAATATATGTTCACAGTGTAAATGTTTACACAGAGCTGACAACATAGTTCAGTAGGCAAAGCTGCTTGACAACAAACCAGAAACCCGAGTTCAATCCTTGGGACCCATATGTGCAGAGAACCAACTTCTCCATGTTTTTATATTACCAAGCCTACACAATTAAGGTATCATTTTTACTGGGTTTCATTTACCTACTAGTTCAAATATATTGAAATACTAAAAAATTTGTATTTATTTCTATGTGTATGAGTGTTCTGCCTACATCTAAGGTCAGAAGAGGGCATCAGATTCCACCCGGAACTGCAGTTACAGGTGGTTGTCAGCTGCCATGTGGGTGCTGAGAAGCAAACCTGGGTCCTCTGCAAGAGCAGCCAGGCACTAACTGCTGAGCTACGTCTCTGAAATATTTTTAACCTTATACTTTGAATTTATGTCACAAGTTGGACATCAAATGCCAGCTCTTTTTATTTATTTATTTGGTCTTTAAGACAGGGTCTCCCCATAGTCAGTTGACCTGGAACTTACTATGTAGTCCAGGTTGGCCTCAATAGCACAGAGATCCTCCTGCCTCTGCCCTGCAGGGATTAAAGGTGTATGCCACCATGCCAGGCTTAAATGGCAGTTCTTTATCATTTCATCTATCTAATTTAGGAACCGTCATTCTGTTTCACAGCATTTTTGTTTGTTTTGGGGTTCAGGATCCAGCAATATAGCCAGAGTAGGCCTGGGACTGGCACTATAGCTATCATCTGGCCTCAAGCTTGTGATCTTTGTGTTTCCGCCTCTTTTCACATTGGAGTTAAGTAGTGGATTTAACGTGAATCTTTCCAGTATTTTCTTGCCCCTAAAAAGCAATCAATCTTCGGGTGAGGTAGTACTCACCCTTAATCCTAGTATTTGTGAGGCAGGAAGATCTGTGTAAGTCCCAGGATAGTTGGGGTTACAGGGAGACCCTACCTCAAAAAGCTAAAACCAAGGAGGGGGCGGGAGGGATAGCTCAGTGCCTATCTAGAATGCCTAAAGGCTTGGGTGTTCAACCCTTAGCACTCCATAAAATCAAGTATAGCCAACACATGTTTCTAAGTTCAGAACTCAGGAGGTACAGCCAGGAGGATTAGAAGTTCAAGGTCATCTTTGGTTATCTAGGAATAGGGGGATGGGGATGGAAAGATGGCTCAGTGGTTAAGAGCACTGGCTGCTCTTGCAGAGGACCTCAGTTCAATTCCCAGCACCCACATGGCAGCTAACAACAGTCTGTAACTCCAGTTACAGGGGATCCTATGTCCTTGTCTAGTCTCCTTGGACACTGCATGACATGGGTACACTCACATACATATAAGCAAAACACTCATAAACATAATATAAAATAAAATATGTTTAAAAAAAAAAAAACAGTGAGAGAGGAAACAATGATTTCTATTTCCTAAATATCTAAACTTTGTAAAACCTTTTAATCTAACCTCCAGGCAATGCATGTTTCTGATTTATGACATTTCCCAAACCTCCTAGGTATTCTTCAATGCCATCAGTGCTCGAGACTTTATTACTTTATACCTCACTGATTTTTCAAGAAAAAAAAAATTTTTTTGTTGCTCTTTGTTCAGCTGAGACGGGGTTTTGCTATGTAGCCCAGGCTGGCCTAGAATTTGTAATCCCCCTTCAGCCTCCTGAATGCTGGGGTTTACAAGCATGTTCCACCACATCCACTAAAAATAGTTTAAGAGTTTTGCATATATTTATCCTATACCTAGAGGAAACATTTATAAAGCACATTACTTGAATGAATACCCTACTATTCCAAGAGGGCATAAAATCTTTTTTATGCTTTTCTGCAGTTAAATAGTGACTTATGGGATTATACTACTGTATTCTACGAAATACTTAAATTATATAGTCAGTAAGTTTTCTCAGTCCCCCTCTCCTTCCGAGAGGGTCTCAATATGTAGCCCTAGCTGTCCTAAAACTATGTAGACCAGGCTGGCCTCATACTCACGGAGATCAACCTGCCTCTCTGCTGGAATTAAAGGCATGCAACCACTACACCTGTAGTTTTCTCAGCATCTTTTTTTTTGCATTTTTTGTCAAAATTTCACATACTTGAGGGGCGAGAGAGATGGATCAGGCTGTTCTTACAGAGGACCTGGGTTCAATTCCCAGCACCCCACCCACATGGCAGCTAATGACCCTGTATAACTCCAGTTCCAAGGGATCAAGAGCCCCCTTCCTGCCTCTGTGGGCATTGTATCCATGTGGCACGCGCAGGTAAGCACTCATACACATAAAAATAAAAATAAATAAAAATCATACCTGATCAGCTAACATAAGTACAGTTTTCATTGTGAATCTTCTTGAACAGAAATTGAAGAGGTCTTCAAGGCTGGGTCCCAGAAGATCCATGACTAGCACATTATAGTCTTTTTCTTGTCCATACCACCTAACAAAACAAACCGGAAAAAGGAGTTGGTAAAAAAATGCTAATTATCACTTAACATTGTTAAAAATTAAATTCTTATATCCTAAGATTAAGAAAGATTTCTTAGCCAGGCATGATAGCTCACACCTATAATCCTAGTACTTGGGAGGCTAAGGCAGGAGGATCACTCAAGAGTTCTAAACAATTCTCAGCTAAAGAGACCCTGTCTCAAAGAAAGAAAGATTGATTCTCTTTTTTGGCTATATTTTACTTGCGGCAAGAGGTTCAGCAATTGAGAGCACTGGCTGCTCTTGTAAAGGACCCATGGTTCAGTTCCCAGCACTCACATAGCTAACATCAATCCTTAACTCCAGTTCCAGGGGAATGGGCGACCCTCTTCTGATCTCCACGCCATTGCATGACATTGGGTGCACTTACATATATGCAGGCATTTTACTCATACACATAAATATTTGAACAATAATATATAATAGTAACAAATATTTTTAAAATGAATAAAAAATATTCAAAGGGGAAGGAAAGCCTTTTTAAAAAAAACATCAAAATCTCTGTCAAAAGCACAAGTCAGAATGGTGGCACATGTCCACAATCGTAACACTCAGGAGCCTGAGGCAAGAGAAGAGTTTGAGGCCAACCTAGGCTACACGGTAAGATGAGATCCTGTCTCAAAAGACTGCGCCCCACCCCCCAAGCATGCAGCAACAATTATCAGTCTTGGAGGACACTTTTTAGTGCTATTAAACTAAAGTATGAGTTTTTTTCTAGAAAATACAATTTACTCTGAGTGTGCTATGCTAATGCCCCCCCCTTTTAAATAAAAGACTGTGTCTCACTATGTAGCCCTGGCTACCCCGAAACTTTCTATGTAGACCAACCTGGCCCCAAACTCAAAGATTTGCCTTTCTCTGCTTCCTGAGTGCTCAGGTTAAAGGTATGCACTATACCCAGTCCTGGTGTCTCTTTTTCAAGTAGTAGTTTATTTTCATTAGTGGTCCCAAACACTTACCACTGTTACCCCTTAATGTCATCTACCAAAACTGCAAGGGCTTTCAGTCATGCTACTCAAGAGACATGTAAATGAGTAAAACCTCAAATCAACTGGCTCTAATTTCATATCTTTCCGATAGGGTTCATATTCGGATACAATAAATTTGCTCCCTAAAATCTTTTTTTAAAAAAATATCTTATTATTTTTATTTTATGTGTATGTGTATATAGCCTGCATGTAGGTAAGTGCACCTGTGTCGTGCAATGGCCGCAGAGGACAGAAGAGGCTGTCTGATCCCCTGGGACTGAAGTTATGGACAGTTGTTAGCAGCCATAAGGGTGCTGGGATTCGAACACGGGTCTTCTGCAAAAACAACCAGTGTTCTTAACCTCTGAGCCATCTCTCCAGCCCCATCTCCCTAAAATCTTAAGTCAAAAGTAAAAGATTATTCAACATACATACTTGTATGAAAACTAAATAAAGGGGTTCAGCAATTAAGAGCAGCCATTGCTCTTGTAAAGGACCCATGGTTAAGTTCCCAGCACTCACAAACTAACAACTGTCTGTAATTCCAGTTCCAAGTAATCCAACGCCCTCTTCTGACATCTGGGGGCACTGCATGCACAGGCACTTACACATACACAAAACATACATGTAAAAAAACTAATCAATAAAAAAAAAAGCTCCCCAAATCCAAAAACTATTGAGAATTTCATACATGCATATAAGGTATTTTGATCAAATCCACGCCTACTCCCTCCCCACAACACCTCCCATATCTCCCCATCACTTTTTTCT